CGTTGTGGGCCAAATTTCCGCCAACGAACAAACAAAGCCCGCCACCAACTGTCGGAAATTGCCCTCGTGTTCTGTCGAACTTCGGCTTCCCGTTCCATTTCCCCAGGCGCTGGCCCCTCAGTGGTTCTGGGGTCCACAGGCATCACATCACGTACAATAATGGAAGAGTGATCATAGTGCCGACGAGGCTGCAGCGCTCTGTGGACAATAATTCTTAGATACGTGAGATGCGCACGCCGTAAAGTGGCAGTCGCATCATCAACGCGCATACGACCACCAGTTCTGGCTCAAATCGGCGATGAGAAGAATTATATATCCAGAACCATGACTTTGTACAGAAGAGAGCCAGAATATCCTGTGCCACACAGGCGGATCTGCAAAGAGAAGTGGCAGGCATGACAGCGAACTTTTGTCAAAGGGCTGTCAATAACGGGGGGATCTTGGGGTTGGCCAATGGCTGCTAAAGCGAATACGCCGGCTAGTGACAGGTCCAGGAAACTCGATTCAATGTCCAGTACGGAGAGACGGATTGCCAGTGATCTGCAGTCAAGCTCCGTGTCGATCGATGACCTCGCCAACGTCTCTGCGCACAGCTAAGTGTATTGATTCCTTGTACGCAGTTCCGGGTGATATGCCCTGTCCGCATATTACAAGTATATCCCGCAAAGACAATAGAGAGCCCTTTATAAATATCTTTGACCCGCAGCTCAACAATAACCAAATTTGCGAATCAAACTTGTCCGGTCGACTTCCTCGAGATCAACATCGCGATGACGACTCGAGCCTCGTGGAGGACGACTTCGAAGGTGACGACCGTGATATGACCGTCTAAAAATTCATATAGGCCCCTGACCTGGTTCACTGTACAAGGCATTCAGTATCTTGATTGACAAGTGGCACCAAATAGAACAGAGTCCAGCAGCCTTCTTTGCGGCTGGTCCCACCATATATTGTGCACCCATTTCGTGCACATTGCGGCATGTGCAGTAGGAAGGGGCTCATCCCGTAGGCTCAGACCCAACTTGCTTTTGTTGGGCATACAATAAATGGCGATGTGTGGGTTCAATATATCGACTCGAGAAATCTAGAGATACACGAACGCAGGCAACTTGTAAACAGGGAATGGCGCGACTGACATCACGTGCTGTCGCGTTTCCAACCCTTGGCGCGTTTTTCCGCGTCGCGGCGGTCTCCACCACGTCACTCCCGCCTATCTCGAAGTTGCACCAAAGTTATCAGCCCTCCGCCAGGTTCTAAGTTGCCCAAGCTATGGACTTTCTAGATGATGAGACCGGAGACGACTCTGATGTTCTAGTTCCCAGTTCCCAACGCGATCTGATTCCGCGCGCTCGGAAGCGCCGCCGACTTGATTCCAATTCCGACGATTCCTCATGCTCGGAGCACGACCATTACGATTTGCCGACAATCGAGGATGCCGCCGGAAAAGAAAACAGAAAATCCAAGTATGAAGAACGCATCTATGTTCCTCAGTATGGGGACCGTCCGGCAGATACCTTTGTTACACAATTAACTCAGCAGCATTCCAGTCCATCTAGAATCAGAGGTGCAAGATGGATGAAACCTCGGAAGAACCTGTCGCCCTCATCTTCCGTCGAGAGACATCGTACTGTCACCGTAAGCCGTGGTTCCCAGATCGCTACCCATAGTGATGAGTTTGAAGTGGACGAGGACGATCTCGAACTATTGAAAGCCTTGAACGACTGTGACAACACGACGAATGGAAATGACAACGCAATCCTAGGAAGTGTTCAGGGCGGTATCATTCGCAATTCTGCTCCTCGTCCTCTACAGAAATCTAACTCTTTCCGTCAAACGACTCTGCACGGCATTCATACTACGCAGCCTCCTGCGACCCAATCGCAATCCAGGGTCCACAATTGGCCACTGGCAAATCGAAACGAGCCCCCAACTCATCATGATTTAGATTATGATGCTCTGGCTACGTGGGTCTATCCTACAAATCTTGGTCGAATTCGAGACTACCAATATAACATTGTGCACAAGGGCCTTTTTCACAATGTATTGGTCGCCTTGCCCACCGGCCTCGGGAAGACATTCATTGCCGCTACTATCATGCTGAACTGGTATCGATGGACGAAAAGTGCACAAATTGTCTTTGTGGCGCCGACAAAACCACTAGTCTCGCAGCAAGTTGATGCCTGCTTCAACATTGCTGGTATCCCGCGATCTCAGACGACGATGTTGACTGGGGAAGTCTCTCCAGCGATCAGAGCAGAGGAGTGGCAAGAGAAGAGGGTTTTCTTCATGACGCCTCAGACCTTGATCAACGATCTCAAACATGGGTACTGTGATCCCAAAAGGATTGTGCTAGTTGTGGTGGACGAGGCACACAAGGCAACCGGAAGTTATGCGTATGTGGAAGTGGTCAAATTTTTGAGACGATACAACTCCAGTTTTCGTGTCCTGGCTCTCACAGCAACTCCAGGGAAAGACGTAGAAAAGGTGCAAGAAGTGATCGATGGTCTCGGAATCGCTAGAGTCGAAATCAGGACCGAGGAATCGTTGGATATACGCGAGTTCGTTCACAAGCGAAATGTCGAAACCCAGATCTTTGAAAACTCGGACGAGATCACCATGTCGTTAGAGATGCTTTCAGCAACACTGCAACCTCTGTTGAACAAGTTGCACTCTCAAGGCGCTTCTTGGGGGAAGGACCCGCGAATGATAACCCTTTTCGGTTTGAAGAAGGCTTGGGAAAAGTGGCAATTGTCAGAAGCTGGCAGAAGAGCTCCACATTCTGTGAAAGGCATGATCAAAGCTATTTCTTCTACTCTGATGAGTCTGGCGCATAACATCGAATTGTTGAAGTACCATGGCATCGGACCTTTCTACCACAAGATGAACATTTTTGCAGGCGAGGCCTCCGGTGGCGGCAAATACGCGAAACAAATTGTGGACGATGAAAACTTCAAGAAACTGATGGTTCGGCTCAAGGGGTGGATTAACAACCCCGAGTTTATCGGACATCCCAAACTGTCTTACTTAAAGACGGTCGTGCTTAATCACTTCATGGATGCCGGTGAGAGTCGAAGTGGTAGCAACGACGCCAGTTCTTCGAACACTAGAATCATGATTTTTACGCACTATCGGGACAGTGCCGAGGAAATTGTCAGAGTACTAAATCGCCATGGTCCTATGATCCGAGCACATGTGTTTGTTGGCCAGTCAGGCACGAAAGGTGGCTCCGAAGGGATGGATCAGAAGACGCAATTGAGCGTTATCAAACAATTCAAAGCGGGAAAGTACAACACTATTGTCGCAACGTCAATCGGGGAAGAAGGTCTCGACATCGGTGAAGTCGACCTGATTGTGTGCTATGATTGCTCGAAATCGCCTATCAGAATGCTTCAACGCATGGGCCGGACAGGGCGCAAGCGGGCCGGAAGTATCGTTTTGCTCATGATGCGTGGCAAAGAAGAATCCGATTTTGCCCACTCAGAGGACAATTATCAAAAGATGCAGGAAAAGATTGCAAGTGGCAAGGAGTTCAATTTCCATGAAGAATTGTCGGCGAGAATCGTACCTAAAGAAATCGTACCCGCGGTCGACAAACGTGTGGTGGATATTCCGGTCGAGAATACGCAGCCTGGCTCGGTTGAGCCCGCGAGGCGGAAGCCCAAGAATGCCAAAAAGCCGCCGAAGAAGTTCCATATGCCGGATGGCGTTGAGACGGGCTTCACCTTCTTAGGGAATGGAAAGAAGAACGAGAGATCCAAGACTAAGGAGGTTTCAGCAAAGCGTGTAGAGTCGAAGAAGGACCGCGATCTCGCCGCATTACCTGCTTTGAACGACGTGCTGTTGTCTGAAACCGAGGAGCGGGATCTCGAAGACCGCTATGTCCGACTCGCGGGCGCCGAAGACGAGTACATCCAAATCGTGCGGTTCGACGCTTACCCACAACAACAGCGGCAGCTCGGAAAGACCGCTGTCGTCAAACACTCAAGGACAACGAAGACTTTGGTGGGAGCCTTCAGAGCCATGCGGAATCCAAGACAAGGTTGGGGTCGGCCATCGGAATATGTGATGCTCCCAGAGGACGACGAGGCCTTGCCTAGGTTGCTGGAAACGGAACAGTCAATGCATGTGAACAAAGCTCATAGAACGAACCCGAAACCTCGAGTACTTCCTGTAACAGCTGTATCTAGCGGCACCTTCAGGAGTAGCTCTATTGGCGAGTATGACGACAATGACAGTTTCATCGACGACGAAGAAGCGGATCCCAGACCTTCCCATCCGTCAGAGGTTGGACCACCTGCCACGTCAGTGCTCGATGATAGTACCGATGACGACCTGTTTTCTCCTCCACGAAAGATGCCGGGTTCATCACTTCTCCTCCAAGAGAGAGAGGCCCAGGCGGAGAAACGATTCTACGTGTCTCAGCAAAGTATCGATTACGACGCAGTGGATGATGATCTTCCTGATCTAGAGGCCCTCGTTTCTGCAAAGACGAACAAAATTAACGCATGCAAGGCCAAAACCCACAGCTCCCCGATACGTGTTTCTCCAGTGGCTAGAGACAAAGCGGCGAGTCACGGACGACGAAAAGGTGCACGGACGGTGCTCGACAGTGATGACGACGAATGACTTCGCCTGCATCGATATCTGTCTGGTGTTGGACGTCCGACTGGGTCGAACAGCTGGATAATGGCTTCTGAAAATCTGGAAGTCAGATGGTCGAGCTTCAGCAGTTGGATTCCTGCTGTGCAATGGGGAGCTGGCACTGACGTATACATGATTGCTCCAGACAAATGGTTGATAACTTATCACTGTGTGTTTGGTGCATGGATTACAATGTTGGACACCTTGCACGAGGGCAACCATTCAATATCTTTGTTCGAACTGGCATTTATATACGTATAGAGTGCGAAGTCAAGAGCTGCACCGTTGAGGGACTCATCCAACTGCAAACACCCAAAGCCAGATTTCTATACTCTGAAGATTCTGAGAGGTTTGTCCCCTCAAGGTATCTGAATCACAAGCTTGCCGACCTGTCTCCCCTGCCAGATGTCCTCGATTGCCTCATCAGCCTGGGTAAAGTCGTAGACCTTGTCTATAATGTCATTGAACCTCATTTGAGTGGCTGATATAGCGGCACAGAGATCTTCCTGCTCGAGTTTCGATCCGCCATTGATTCCCCTGGTTCTAGGATTAGTTTTCCTCCTCTCCCCGCGAAATGGATGTGTATGTAGAGAAGTGGGAAACTCCGGGGGTGTTGGGTATTGTGTCTTGTTCTCTCACCTTAAGATAATCCTCCGGTCGATGAGAACTGGGACGAACTCTGCCAGGTCGTCGAGGCTCTGTTTGCTCAAGTAGCCGACCTGGCTGACGGTTCCGCCGCGCCGGGTACACTTCATGCTCTTGACCAGGGTCTGGGTGCCTCCCATCTCGAGCACGAGATCGACGCCCGCGCCGCCCGTGAGATCCAGGACTTCTTGGTGCCACTGAGGGTTTTTGGCGTAGTTGACTGTGAGGAGGGGTGGAGTTGGGAATTGGGCCTTGATCCGCCCGAGTTTGGCGTCGCTCGACGAGCTGAGGATCACTTTGAGCCCGGCCGTTCGGGCTAGCTTGAGAGCGATCATCGCGACGCCGCCGGTGCCTTTGAACGTCTTTTTGTTAGTTTTGGATGAAGGGGTTGTTGCTGGCGCTTGCGGGACGAAGGAAATGGGCCGCTTCACTGTGAAGAGACTTTGGGGCTGCATTTGACAAACATACCTTGGATCAAGATGCTCTTGCCCACCCCGATATCCTTCAAGGCAGCCCATGCAGTGACTCCCGCGCACGGGATGAGGCTGGCTTCTGCCCAGTCCAGGTGCTCTGGCAGTTTTGTGAGCTTCTCCTCGCTGAAGACCAAGTAATCCGCCAGCACGCCGTCCTCGTCGGCGGCCAACCAAGACCTCGTCGACTCTCGACCCGTGAGGTTCTCCGTGTCGATGATGGGCGCCACGCGATCGCCGACCCGGAACCTTCTCACGCCTTCGCCCACCGCTATAATCTCCCCAGCGGCGTCGTTGCACAGGATTCCATGCGGCGTCACCGGCCAAGGGTTCCCGCCGTTGGCGATGTTGGCGTCTCGGTAGTTGAGGGACACGGCGTGGACCCTGATCAAAACGGACGTGGCTGCGAGGGGAAGCGGTAGCGGTTCCGTCACGAGCTCGACCCTCGGTTTGCCGGGCGTGTAGTCGTCGGTGCGACGATATGCTTTGCGTGTTGTGGGTTGGACATGAGCCATAGTTGCATTAAATCTTGTCTTTCTCTTTCTTTATTCTTTATCTCTGCGTCAGAAACTCAGGAGATGAAATCAAGGATCCAAACAAGTCACTCTCTGCCCTCTTTGTACTCTGGGCCATAAGCCACCATCATGTCGTATATTCGTATAGCAAACCCCACATCCCAGAATGACAGGATCAAAGTGAAGGGTGAATAGGTCGACAGCCCAAGGGTCCACCTGCCCTACGACCTCAGACCTTAGCCGTTGAGCGGACTTTTGCACCAAGTTGGGCAGTCGCCAGCCCCTATTATTATTAATTAACGTCATGTCGCCATTTCGATCAGCCTCGTCTTTGTCAAATGCGGTTTAGGCTGGTGCTGGACTTCGCGGACGGGGAATTTTTTTGTCAGCTTGTCGCAAAAATGATGGGTTCACCTGGGGGGATCACATTCAGATCGCGTATTCGCGACAGGTTCGGGACTTGATTGTGTGGCACGCGCTTACCAATACGGCACTCATATCAAAAGATCCTTTCTCAGAGAGCTCGGTTGGTGGCGTATACGCATGAAATGCCGGGTTGTCATTCCTTCGCATGAGAAGACTATAGTGTAATAGGTAAAACACTGGACATTGAGCAATTCCCATACGGGTCACATTATGATCAGCTTGGTGTCTATTATCTTGACGGCGCGGGATCTAAGTGCAGCCAAGCCCGTTGACTGTATCCTAGATGGCCTTTGAAGGGCAGTATTGTGTTCTGTGTGAATCAACGGCGAAACATCGTGACTATATAGAGTATACAGAGTACTCATATTGGTACGAGGTACATGGGCGTAATCAGTGATTTACGTGTATATACAAACAGAATGTGACTTATAAGGGTTACCATTGCTAAGGTACTACAATGATGGTCCGCTAGCCACTCGGAGGCCTTTAACCAAGGCTACCGAACGGCACTAGTAAATGCCTAATTATTTTTGTCGGCATATACCAAGTAGTCTTGACATTCCAATTAAGTCGCACCTCGTCCAAGTACCATCACGTGGTACCATCCAAGCCCGGACAGGTATTTTGTTAGGGAAAACCTTCGACACAAGAACTCTCCTCAGGAATAACCATCAGCGAATGAATTATTATCAAATGGACACTCCACTTGAGTGGTCGGATACCTTGAGAATGGCTTTTCAAGTCTGTACCAGATGTCGCAAGCGGAGAATCAAGGTGAGAACGACGATACAGCTTGAGGGGTCGACGAGTTTGAATTTTACAACTGACTTTTGTGCCCACGACAGTGTGATCGCGCTTTGCCGGCCTGTCGACATTGTCAACAAGCTGACGTTGAGTGTTTCTTTTGGGACGACTCCATTGGAGAGGAAATACCATGCGCGTTCGTGTTCGTCTGTGTATCTTGTTTCAAACGAGACTCATAAAGCCAGGTATCTTTTCTCCCTGCAACAAAAGGTTCAGGCACTTCAGCTGGAGATCCAGCAAGCTGCCGATCAAGAGAGCGCTAGCGAATCGACAGAGTTCGAAGCAGTACCGCTATCTATGCAAGGATATCACCTGGAAGTGGCGGCTTGTGACGAACTTCCGACGCCAACACGAATCGCTTATCTGGGGCCCGGAACTTCAGCTCGACTCATGCAGTCCTTCTTGAAGTCCACGGGTCGAGGGCAAATGTCCAACAATTTGCACCTAGGAAGGCACCTATTTCCCAATTCTCCATTTCATTCGACAAATCTTGACGAGCCACGCTCCATGACCTCCTTTCTGACCAACATTGACTTGCGGAAGGTAGAGTTGCATTCCCTCGTACCACCTTCGACGCAACGCGCCATCATCGAGAATTACTTCCGAACGGTAGCAACCGAGTATGCCCTCCTTCCTATTGAGCATGAGTCAGATCTGTCGACGTACGAAAACCCTTTGAAATGGGCTGGGTCGAACAAAGACGACCCAGTGGCGTGTTCGCTGACCATCATTTTTGCCATCTCATCTGCTCTGATTACTCGAGATGTCGATCCCATCCTGTCCAACATTTCTTCCCGATTCAGAGAGGATGTTGAGAAGCTTGCTCTCTGCGATGGAGGATGTCGAGTTCAAAGCAATACACTCAGATGGGCATGCACTGCTCTATGTGCACTATCCATGATTGAATTGATCTCTCCAAGCTCTGGGCAACTTTGGGATCTTCTGGGAAGGGCTGCTTCGACAATGGAAGACTTGCAGGCGGCCAGCCCGCTTGGACAGCCCAACCTCGACCCCGAGTTGGAAAGGCTCGAGCGTGTCCTCCTCAAGCTGGAAAGGTATTTATCATACGTTCTTCTCTACTTTGTGCTCGCGACTAACATCGGCTCCAATAGTTTGGCATCTCTTCATTTCGGACGTCCGTCGTTGTTCTTGCAAACTTATTTGCGACCACCAGCCGACCATCTCTCTCTTCTACATGCACTTTCGAATGAGCTTGGTGTTGAAAGTTCACTACATCGTATTCACCGAACCCTAGCCACGGTGCCAGTTCCAACTGAGAGATATCTCGAGGGACTAATCCCCCAATTTCTCCAGGTGGCCTCGACAGGGTCTGAGATTAGTTTGTCTTCTGCCAGACTCTATCTTGCTCTGAGTCCGCTATTCATCGACTCGGACAGATTCGGAAACGGTGTCGGTATGAACGCTCCGTCCCCTAGAATGGTGCACCTGATTACTGAATCTGCCTCTGTCCTTATCGACCACTACACTCGATTGAACCAAACCACCTCCATCATCAGCATATGGATGGCAGCTGAGCATGTACTTATAGCTGGTGTCATCTGGGCTGCTGGTCTTGTTCACCAGCAACGCCTATCAGGCCCACGACTGCAGACCATATCTTCAATGGGGCCCGGCCCCGCGCTGGGGCCAATCGTGAAAGTGTCCAGCCTGCTGGCGTCATTTTCAGCACGGTGGAAAGCCGGATCAGCTTTTGTGAATGCCTGGGAGACAGTGGTCGAAACACTCTGGCAAGTGCTATAGTCGGCCACGATGCAATGCTTCTCCGCATAGAAACTCTCGAGGGAACCCTCTATTATTCCTCTTTCAACACGCTGCGAAGGTGTTCTATCTAAAATGCCCATTCTACAATGGGTAGACTATCGCACGGTCGACCGATCAACACCTTGCCTGTACGACTCTTTAACTCCATCATAATGCAAGCTAAGGTGGTCATTCTTTCCATCCCCACAGCCCCGGCAGGTCTGTTCCTGCATATTGAAAATGGCGACCCTTGCTCATCTGAGAGTCGGTGACGAAGAGATTGAAATGATAGGGGTGTGCTGGCCTTCGCATCGGACAAAGTGAGCTCTCGTATGCGGTCCAGTCGGGAGAAAGAATTCGCCGCAGGGTGATCAACCAGTTTAAGGGGTCGATTGGGTCCGTACAAATGGTTTGTGTGTGCCACATATCCATGCTGCGGCGAGATCAAGACGTTACCCCTTGGAGAACACTCAACGTCGACATGGTTGCCCTCTGCGTCGGCAAACATATAGTTGCTTGTGCTGGCCAAGCCAAATTCGTCCAAGATGGCCAGCGCGTCGTCAAGACTTGTGGCGAATTGGAGGAGACGACGCGACATGACATGAACGGGCAGATTGGCGTTATTGAAAGCGCCGGAGCGGATGGCATTCATGCACAAGCCGAAACCAACACTGTTCATGCCTATTTTGCCAACGATACCAGCTTCGCCGAGAAACCTCATTTCATGACCAGACCCTTGGGGTTGGATGTGTAGAAGGACCATTCCGTTTTGCAGTTCTTCTAGCCAGTCCCAATTCTGGGCCAGAAACATTGTCCCATCCGGTCCCACCTGGCTGATCGACGTACACCCGTCCGTGTAGTTGGTCAGACAGATCTCACTGCGGACGTTGAGGGTCAATATGTCGTCGCGTGTCAGACCACGACCGGCCCCGTCGGCGATTCCAGCCATCTCTTCAAGGATTTCAGGATACTTGGCATCGAGAGTAGGAACAAACTGTCTCACGGCCCGCTCTCGTGCCGACGGCCAAGTGATCTGGGCTGTTTCCTGGAAGAAGCCAGTGTATGTTTTGATGTTGCTGTGGACTTGAGTAGCCGCAGCCACGCCGTGCTGATGGCCAATCTCGTAAGGAGTGCCCGAGCAATGGACTGTTTTGATCACTGGATGGTCCATGGTAACTCTGCTTTGGATCGCCATCTGGTCGGTTCGGAGATGTCCTGCGCAAACTTGGTGGCACAAGGATCACAACAACAAAGACGAGCAAAATCAAGACCTGTGCCACACGGGGAGTATTCCTTAAAGATTGATTCCTCCTCACAGGTGTGAATCTTATAATTCTCTGGACGGTCACCAAATCTCACGACTTTAGTTCCAACAGGCTCAAAACCCGCGTCTTTCGAACTCTGCGCCACGCGCCGGTAGACGGATCTCAGCGAGAGGAGTTGTAACCTTTTCGATTGTCGCCGTGGGGGTGGATCGGGGATTCGCGGCTCCTCTAGACATCTCTGGATGGGGCGATAGTGTCTGTTTCAAGCCATAATATCGGTTACGACGGTCTGTTGCCCTTTGATCAATGCCGCATACCCGAGTCTCATGGTCGAATACGGGCGAGAGCGAATACAAGATTACGCGTTTACCAAGTCCGGGTTTAACTCCCTCGAATCCAAGTCTGCTGGGGACCTGTCTGTGATGGCAATACTCTGGCGCAAAATAGCTACTTCATGGTCTTGAGAAGAGCCTGCGTCTGTATAAACAGAGTCTAGTTGCGCAACAAGAAAAGAAGTCTGCGCAACAGAATGCACATTAAAACTATTCAGGAGGGACGTAGGCACCCGTCTGATCCCACACGTGGTTGTCATGATACAGTCCGACACCCTGCCCGTCTCTTTTCCAGATTTGACCGTCCTTCATGACAAAGTCAACTTTTCTCAGCGCATTTTGATCCTCCCTCGGGTCTGAAGCGAGAGCGATGATATCGGCCCTCGTCCCCTCTTCAAACCATCCAAATCGCATTCCGCACAGGTCTCCTCCGCACGCCTCCCAGCCTCCCACGAAGCACGACTCCAGGACATCTTCCAGTGGGATGCCCGCCTCAAGCATGAGCTCCATTTCCCGCACGCCTTGGCCGTGGGGATAAGGGCCCGTGTCTCCTCCACAGGCCAAGCGCACGCCGACGTCGTAGGCCAGCTTTGCCTGTGCTTTGATCTCATGGTACCGTCGGTGGTGGACCCGCTCACAGACAGCAAGGGTGGGACAGAAGACAACGTTCTTCGCCTTCATCAGCTCAAAGAGCTCCCTGTCCGCGAAATAGGCATGTTCCAGAGTGTGCACACCGGCCTCGATGGCGATCCTGGCGCCCTCGATAGTACCCGCGTGACATGCCACAGGTGCCTTTCCCATTGCTGCTTCCTGGACCAGGGCCTCGACCTCGTCCTTGGCGAAAACGAGCAGGTCCGGGTTTGGATCGGCCGGAGGATGCGTCACGCCGACTTTGTAAGGGTGCTGTTGCGCAGGGGGGTATCGCATGATTCGGCGACGGTAGTCGGCGAAGAACTTGATCACGTCTGCCCCAGCGGCCAAGCGTCGCCTCACCGCGGTGCGCACTGCCTCTGGGCCGTCGACCGCCTCTCCCCCCATTGGAAGGCACACACCGCCTGAAGAGTTCTCTGTGCGTGGCTCATAGGATCCCGTGCTGGCAAGAGCACGTGTCGCGACGAACATTCGGGGGCCGGGCGTGAAGCCACGGTTGATGCAGTCGCGCAGCTGAGCGTCACCTTCTCCCATTGACTCGGAGCTCAAATCCCTATCAATTCATAAGGAATTAGCGGGATGATACTTTCCCAGACAGCCAAAAATAGGAGGAGCATCCAGGGAGAACCTTACCGATAGGTCGTGTAGCCTGCAAGCAGAGCTGTTCGGACGTGATTCACAGCGCGGACAATCCTCTCGACGGTGCTCTCGTCGCGTTTCTGCACCAGCGATGCTCGTTCACTGTACCCAAACATCAGGTTTTGCGTTATAACGGTTTGAGAGGAGAGAAAATGACTCGTATGAGTGCAGAAAGACGTGTGTGTGTGCGTCTACAAAACCCGGCATGACAATCCTTCCGCGGAGGTCGACATCTCCCTCTGGGACCGAATCACCCAGCGCCCCCGCCGGCCTTTGCGAGACTGCCTCAATCAGGCCGGTCTTGGGGTTGACGGTGATTGAGACATCGTTGACAAATGCCTTTTTCTTCGGGTCGAACAGCGTCGACGTGTGGACGGTATATGGAGCGGCCATTGTAAGCTTACTTGGTAGGAAGAACTGGTATGAACAAGTAATACAGTGTACACTCTTTGATGACGGGACGGGATATCAAGTCCCTTTTGAACATATATCCTCTATTTCTCCGTCCCTTATACTCCAGCGTAACAGCATTCTCTGAAGAAATGGGGTCTTGTCACCTTATCACATCGGGCTTGCTTGCTAATCGGGGATTCTGTGCAGGACCCACAACATTCGGCATTCGACATACGGATGCATTCAACTAAGAGCTGGACTAGCCTTTCCAGGATATTCTCTTCCCCACATCGCCATCGGTGAAAAGCGCTTCGGCAGGCGTGGTCTACGCTCAAACCCGTCTTGGATCCTTGTACGAGCAGACGAGGTAGTCGGAATAGGCTGATAGGTCTCACACCCTAGCCTACCAGGTCAAGACTCGCTTTGTGCCGTTTTCGGGGTCCCGGCAGGGTAATGAAACTGAAAAGTTATCCGCACTGGTTATACACTGAAGAGAACTAGCTAGCCGTGGGCATCACGTTGTGTATTCTGACATATTGTTCAAAGATGAATCCTCTAACAGATGATGGTGGTTTATTATTGCCACGCACACGGCGTATTTGATCCCCGGACATAGCAAACAACGACAATCCCCAGATCTCACTTCTAAATACCTGACTGCATACGAGAATTTTTATCCTGTGAAGAATCACTCATCAAGCCCATAATGTCTGTGTCGATCCTTGCCGCAGGAGACATCGTTCTCAATGACAAGCTCAACCGGACGCCGGGCCCTGGAACCGTGTACGACAGGCTCCGAGCGGCAGACTCGTGCTTTGCGAACCTCGAAATGCCATTCTGCAAGGACGGGTATCCTGCAGAAAAGTTGATCGCCCTGAGATGCGATCCGCAGCACGCGAGTGTGATCCGAGAGATTGGCGTCGACGTCGTCACGGTCGCCAACAACCACGCCATGGACTACGGCATGGAAGGTCTGCGCATGACTTCGCAAGCCCTCGACAGAGTCGGCGTTGCCCACGTCGGCACCGGGGCGGACATTTTCCAAGCGTACGCGCCGTTCCTCAAGACCCTCAACGGGGTCAGGGTGGCGTACGTGGGCGTGACGACGACGTTGCCCAACGGCGCCGGGGCGGGCGCGTCGCGACCGGGCCTGGCAGGCGTCCGCGTCTTCAGCAAATACGTCGTCGACACGGTCACGATCGACGAGTCCCCCGGGATGGCGCCCTTCGTCGAGACCGAGACGTACAAGCCGGACGAGGAGATGCTTTTGCAGACGATCCGCCGCGCGAGGACCCGGGCCGACGTCGTGCTCGTGGCCATCCACTGGGGCGTGCCGTACGGGTGGATCCACAGGACGCAGGACGAGGTCGCCACGTACCAGCGGCCCCTGGCGCGCGCGATGGTCGAGGCCGGCGCGTCGGCCGTCTTCGGCCACCACCCGCACGTCGTGCAGGGCGTGGAATGGCACGAGGGGTGCCCCATCTTCTACTCCCTGGGAAACTTCATCTTCAGCAACACCATCGTCACCCCCGCCGACAGCTGGCGCACATACCCCCCTTACGACTGGAGCAGTCTGCAGACCACGCTGTCCAACATCGGCGGACTGGCAAAAGTCACTTGGTCCCAGGGCAAAGTGTCGGGCTGCTCACTCGTCCCAATCACGATCGCGGAGGACGGCGAGCCAGTCGAAGCTACCCAACAGGATGCCACTACGCTCCTG